CATGTGGAAGATTTGTATGACTGCCTGTGTAAAATTTGGGATAAATACAAGCTGTAAACCCCCAATAAACGGCTTCTGCTCAATTCACCGAACAGTTGTCCACTTTCTTTCTTTCTCTTTATATCTATCCCTCCACCTTTCTTTCTTTTAATATTTATAGAAACGCCGACGCCATCACACCTTCCAAGGGACCACTTAAATCTCTTTCTGGGGGCTGGCCCCCCAAACTGTCTCAAAAAAATTTTTTTTTCCTCTTTTGAGTCAGAGTCTGGCTATGTTGCTCAAGCTGGTCTTGAACTCCTGGGCTTCAGTGATCCTCCTGCCTCACCCGCCCAAGTAGCTGAGATTATAGGTGTGTACCACTGTACCTAGCAAGGCTGTGATTTTTTCAGAGTCTTTCGTGATAGTTTTTGTTGTCAGGCATACAAGCATGAGAACCCTCCCTTCATGGCCTTCCCCAGCTCTATTTATCAGGGCTTTTTTTCCCCTTAAGTTACTCCATTTTGATTCTGACAACTTTTACACCAGTAATATGAGGACCTTGAGTACTTTGGGTTTATGTTTCCCAGATGTGAGCTCTCTGAGGTATTTGGTTGTTGCTGACCCACAGTATGAGGTCCTGAGGTGTTTGGTAGCCGGTGTCACAGAATGTAAGGTCACTGAGATGTTTGTGTTTCTCTGTCCCATGCTATGAATTCCTTAAGATGTTTGAGGGTCTAAGTTCCAGGGTATAAGGTCTCTCAACTGTATCACAGAGACTTCTGAACCCCTTGGGGTTCTTCATTCCAACATGTGACATCTCACACTTCCTAGAGTGTGAGTCCTCTAAGCTGGTTTATTGTTTTATCGTAGTCTGAGTTCTCTGAACTCTTTGAGGGCTCATTTCCATTATTGTGACATGTTTAACATTTTTGAGGATTGATGTCCCTGACTGTGGACATCTCTGAACTTTTGAGGTTCTCTCCTTGAATTTGAGGCTATTCCAAGGTGTGTTTATCCATGTGCTAGGTCTCTGAGTTGATTTAGCGACTATGTCCAAAATGTGAGGTCAGTAAGCTTTTTCATATCTCTTTGCAGCATAGTAAATGTACAATTAATCTTGGGAGTGGATAGTCCAAGTTGTGGAATCTCAAAGGTTTATGGGAGCATTTTATCATATTTTCATATTGGCTGTTTGGGGTTTCTGTGTCGAAGAGTGTGAGGTCTCTGAGCTGCTTCTGGTTCTTTGTATAGGTCAGGATATCTTTAAACTGAGAGTTTCTATGGTATTTGGCATCTGAGTGAATTAGTTGAATCTTTGTTTCACAGAATGAAATTTCTGAACCTGCTTGTGGCCTGTGTCCCATGGTGTGAGGTCTCTGAGCTTTCGGGGGATTTGTGTCCGAGGAGTGAGGTCTCTAAGCTGTTTGGGGCTCTGTTTTCTAGATTGTGTACTTTACAAACCAATTTGTTTTTGTTTGTTTGTTTGTTTTGTTTTGTTTTCTACCTTTAAATTTTTTATTTTAAAATTGTGGGGTACAATTCAGGGCTAGGTATACAAATATTCATTGTGCAGGTACCTTTGTTGCCAATTTGTTTATTTTCTACCTGGGTATGAGGCCTCTTGGTTTTTTTTTTTGTGGTTTTGCCAACTAGAATGTGGGAACTCAACTTTTGTGGGACTCCTTCCCTGATGGTCAGGTTTTGAGATTTGGGGAGCATATGTCTCTGAGTGTGGAAGTTCTAGCATTTTAAGGTTTTTAAAAATCCTGTTTATTGTTCAGAGGTATGTTTCTGACCTCTGAGCTGATTTCATACCTATGTATAGAATGTGCGGTCACTCAGCTATTGTCCAAGATGCATAGTACCCAAGCATTTTTGGGGCATTATCTCTAGATGCATGATATCTGAGGTTGTTTGGGGGATTCTTTCACAGGGTGAGATGTCTCTTCTCTGTCTTGAAGCTCTTTCTAGGACTGTGTCTCTTTTTTAGGTCTTTAAGCTCTTTCTAGGACTGTGTCTCTAGGCATAAGTTTTCTATAATGTTTTTATGGGGCTGTGTAATATAATGTGCTCTTTGGACTGATTTAAGTTTTGCATCCCAGGGTCTGGTGTTTGTGTTCTTTCAGGGTTCCTGTGTCCCAAAATATGAAGTCTCAAATATGTTTGGGGTTCTGTGTCCACGGTATGAGATGCACATGCGTTTTGGGATCTCTTTCCACTATGTGTAATGAGCTTCTTGTGGTTCTGTGTTTCAGGGTATAAGTTTCTGCGGTGCTCAGGACCTGGTGTGTTATGCCCCTGAGCTCTTTGAGGATTTGTGCCCGGTGTGTGAGGTGATTGGGGTGTCTCTTTTTAGATTTTGAGGTCTATGAAGTTTTGGCAGGTATGTGTCAGGGTTGAGGTGTCAGAATTTTGGGAGGTATGTGTCCAGTGTGTGAGGTAACCAAGCTATTTGCAGGTGTGTTCCAGGGGGGATGTGTGTCCAGTCTGTGAAGTAACTGAGTGTGGAAGGCTCTGCCCATAGTGGGAGGTTTCTGAGATTTTCATGGATCTGTGTCAGGATTGGAAGTCACAACAATTTGGGATGATATTTCCATAATAAATTGTCTATGACATGCCTAGGTGTCAATGCACAGTTGTGAAGTCTTTGAGATGTTTCAGTGCCTGCTTTTTAGGGTATTATCACTATTATAATTGGGATACTACAGGGAATAGCTAAAACAATAGGAGGAAGTTGTCAGAGAGTGGGATGCGTGAACTTGATATTGTACTTGTTCCGGTTTGGGTGATGATGTCACTCACTCTGTGAGAGTGAATTGCTGAGGAGATCACTGGAGGAGAGGAGGTCAAGGAAGTGAGAGGCCAGGTCTTTGGAAGAATCATTTAAGTACAGATGAAATCATCCATGGTCAAAAGAAGGATGGAATTGTAGAGAGTGATAGTAATCCAGAAGCTAAAATTCTACAGAAATGAGGGTTGGTAGATGATTTCCATAAATCAGGATTCTCATGACATGAGGAGTCAAAACTGAGGGGTTTTAGGAAGGCGCGAGACTTGTTTGAAAGTGTTATCTGTCCTACCGGGGGAGTGAGGGCCAGTTAGAAGCCCAAACTTCACCTGAATGTAGCCTACTTGTGTAGTTGATCCTCACTTGTACCCTATATCTCTATAATAATAAAATAAAATAAAATAAAGAAAAAGTGTCCTCTGGGTCAGATGTAGTGATTCATCCCTGTAATCCCAGCACTTTGGGAGGCAGAAGTGGGAGGATTGCTTGAGTCCAGGAGTTTGAGACCAGCCTAGGCACTATAGTGAGACCTCATCTCTTCAAAAATAAAAATAAAAAAGTTAGCTAGGCATGGTGGCACAAGCTTGTAGTCTCAGCTACTAGGGAGGCTGAGGTGGAAGGATTCCTGAGCTCAGGGAGTTGAGGCTGCAGTGAGCCCTGATCATACCACTGCACTCCAGCCTGGACAACAGCATAAGACCCTGTTTTTTTTTTCCCAAGTGTTCTCTGTACACTGAGTAATTGTTTTTTCTTTTTTGAGTCGGAGTCTCATTCTGTTGCCCAGGCTGGAGTGTAGTGGCACATTCACGGCCACCACAGCCTCAACCTGCTGGGCTCAGGCTATCCTTCCACCTCAGCCTTCCAAGTAGCTGGAACCACAGGTAAGTACCGCTACATTCAGCTAATTTTTTGATTTATTATAGAGATGAAGTCTCGCCATGTTGCCCAGGCTGGCCTCAAACCCTTGGAATCAGGCAATCCTTTCACCTCCACCTCCCAAAGTGCTGGGATTACAGGTGTGAGCCACTATGCTCGGCTTACACTGAGGATTTTTTTTCTTTGAGTTAGATTCTCACTCTGTTACTCAGGCTGGAGTGCAGTGGCATGCTCACGGCCACTGTAGCCTCGACCTGCTAGGCTTAGTTGATCCCTCTGCTTCAGCTTGCCAAGTAGCTGGAACTACAGGCACACGCCACCCTTCCTGGCTAATTTTTAAAAATGTATTTATTGAAGAAATGAGGTCTCACCAAGTTGCTCAGGCTTGTCTTGAACCTGTGGGCTCAGGCAATCCTTTCACCTCGGCCTCCCAAAGTGCTGGGATTATAGGCATGAGTCATTGCTTCCAGCCTACACTGAGGATTCTTAAAAGAACTAATATTGAAGAAAGAACGATTGACTCTCATCATCTTGCAAACCCCTAATTAATTAATGGGTCCAGTCAATGGTTATTTAGGGCCACAAAGAAACAGAGAGAGAGAGAGAGATACAGAGACAGAGACAGACATACTTGCCTCCATTTTCTTGACCCAAAATGAAACTTCACACACACACACACACAGACCCACAGCACACATGCACAGATGCAGGCACACACACTGGCATATGGAAACAGCAAATAGAGTCATATGCAGGCAGTCACCCAGAGACACCCAGGACAGTGACTCACAGACACTCACAGACACACAGGTTATACCAAGATCCATATACTATACAGAGACACACAGCCTATGAACATAGACATGGGCGGAGTCACACACAAGCTAATATACAGTGATACCAAACACAGGCCTGTGCAGACACAGCCATACAGATACACACACAGAGATACACACACACAAACAGAGGTAGTGAGAAACAAAGGAGCATGCACCTCCACACCTGGCCAAAGAAATTCTCCTAAAACACACTGTACTGTCAGATACAGGCTATGGTCATGCACATCCAGTGACATACAATGTCTCTTTTGGGGGTGCAGCAGTCATAGGTGATCACTGCTAGATCCATGGTTTCATTAGAAGCTGAGCTAGAGTTCTGCCTGATGAATTAAATGAAGTAAAGAGAAGGACAAAACAGAGGACCACAATTATGGATTCTAGAAGTTGAGCTGAGTAAGGAGGGAAGTGAGGATATAAGACAGATGTAAAACACTGAAAAGGTAGTAGGGTCAATAAATTGTAGTTACATAGGTCTTTCTCTTTTTGTAGCCATCGCCAAAGCGTCAGTGGCCTAAATGAAGTTCAATCCCTTTGTGACTTCAGACCAAAGCAAGAACTGCAAAAAGCATTTCAATGCGCCCTCCCACATTCACAGGAAAATTATGTCTTCCCTTCTCTCCAAAGCACTGAGACAGAAGGGCAAAAATGTTCCATCCGTGCCCATCCGAAAAGATGATGAAGTTCAGGTTGTGCGAGGACACTATAAAGGTCAGCAAATTGGCAAAGTAGTCCAGGTTTACACAGAAAAATATGTCATCTACATTGAATGGGTGCAGCGGGAAAAGGCAAATGGCACAAATGTCCATGTGGGCATTCATCCCAGCAAGGTGGTTATCACTAGGTTAAAACTGGACAAAGACCACAAAAAAATCCTTGAAGAGAAAGCCAAGTCTCGCCAAGTAGGAAAGGAAAAAGGCAAATACAAGAAAGAGACCATTGAGAAGATGCAGGAATAATGTAATCTTACACACACCTTCCATTAAAACCTGCTAACAGGCTGGGCTCGGTGGCTCAGCCTGTAATCCCGTGCTTTGGGAGGCCGAGGTGAGTGGATTGCCTGAGTCCGTGGGTTCGAGACCCGCCTGGGCAACTTGGCGAGACCTCATCTCTACAATAAATCAAAAAATTGGCCAGGCGTGGTAGCACACGCCTGTAGTTCCAGCTACTTGGAAGGCTGAGGTGGAAGGATCGCCGGAGCCCAGCAGGTCGAGGCTGCAGTGACTGGGAGCGGCCACTGCACTCCAGTCTGGGCAACAGAGTGAGACTCTAACTTGGAAAATAAATAAATAAATAAATAAAAACTGCTAACATGAAAATACACAAATACATAAATAAATAGTAGTTCCTTATAGGGTCAAATTGTGTGATGGCTAGTTTTATTTATCAACTTGACTGAGCCATAGGGTGATTCCTGTTCTCATGATTTTATACTCTGCTACCTCGAGGTCTAGTTCCAGACAGAAGACTGTTTCCACTAAGAGACACAACAATAATTCCTTTGAACTGGAAGTTAACTCTATTGCCTGGTCACTTTGGTCTACTTTATATCTTTGAATCAACAGGCAAAGAAGTGAGTTATTGTGCTGGCTGGGGTGATTGATCATGTCTACCATGGGGAAATCGAACTGCTACGTCTCAATAGAGGTAAGGAAGAGTATGTCTGGAATACAGGAAATTTCTTAGGGCATCTCTAAGTATTACCATTGCCTGTGATTAATTCACTGAAAAACTACAATTTAATCCAGGCAGGACTAAAATGGCCCAGACTCTTCAGGAGTGAAGGTTTGGGTCACTCCACCAGGTAGAAAACCACAACTAGCTGAGATGCTTACTGAAAGCAAAGGGAGTACAGAATGGATTAGTGGAAGAAGATAGTTATCAATACCAGTTGTGACCAGTTACAGAAATGAGGACTGTAAGTGTCATGAGTATTTCTTCCTTATTTTTCTACAAACATATTTGTGTATGTGCATACAAATATATTCTTTGTTTTCTTTCCTTCCTCATTCCCATATAATGTAATACAAAATATATTAACCTTACATCAAGTTATGCAGTGTCACGAAGCATATATATCACTCAAGGACTTTACCTCTTCTTTTGGGGAAAGTGTTATTATGTTTTTACTTGTACCTCTTCTTTTGGGGAAAGTGTTATTATGTTTTTACTTGTATGCAAAGTAGTTGACTCATGTTAGACAGAATTATGACCTTGTTATCTTTATTTGGAGACTAAGTATGGTTTAAGGGGATGTATGTGGGTGTCAGGTTGATAAGGGATGGACTTGTGATGGTTGATTTTATGTGTCAACTTGACTGGACCACAGGGTGCCTAGGTATTTGGTCAAATATTATTCTGAGTGTTATTGTAAGGGTGTTTTGGATGAGATTAAATCAATCAAGTCAGTAGACTGAGTAAAGCAGATTACCCTCCCTAATAAGTGGGCCTCATCTAGTCAATTGAAGGCCTGAATAGAGCAAAAAGGTTGACCATTCCTGAAGTAAGAGAGAATTCTCCTATCTGACTACCTTCAAACTGGAACATTGGCTTTTTCTTGCCTTTGGACTCAAAATGAAACATTGGCTCTTTCTAGATCTCAAGCCTGCTGGTTCTTTTTTTTTTTTTGAGTTGGAATCTCACTCTATCACCCAGGGTGGAGTGCAGTGGCATGCGCACGGCCACCCCAGCTCCAGTGATCCGTCCACCTCAGCCTTTCAAGTAACCAGAACTACAGGCACACGCTACCATGCCCAGCTAATTTTTTATTTATTGTAGAGACAAGGTCTTGCCAAGTTGCCCGGGCTGGCCTCAAACCCGCATGTTCAGGCATCCACTCGCCTCGGCCTCTCAAAGTGCTGGGATTACAGACTGAACCACTGAGCCAGGCCTGGTTCTTTAACTGGAACCATGCCATTGGTCCTCCTGGGTCTCAGGCCTTCAGACTTGGACTGAATACACCATCAGTCCAAGTTAGATCTTTAGCTTGCTGACTCACCCTACAGATCTTGATCTTGGGACTTGTTAGCCAGTTCCTATCAAGAAATCCTCTTTGAGGCTGGGTGCAGTGGCTCACACCTGTAATCCCAACACTTTGGGAGGCCAAGGCAGGAGGATCACTAGAGCCCAGAAGTTCAAGACCAGCCTAGGCAACATAGTGAGACTTCATTTCTACTAAAAATAAAAAATTAGCCAAGTGTGGTAGTGTGCAATCCCAGTTACTCAGGAGACTGAGGTGGAAGGATCGCTTGAGGTTGAGGCTGCGGTGAGCCATGATCATACCATTGCACACCAGCCTAGACAACAGAATGAGACCCTGACTCAAAAAACCCCCAACCAAACAACCAAAAAAACCCCCAAACCTACAATGAGAGACCATCTCACACCAGTCAGAATGGCTATTATTAAAAAGTAAAAAATGCCATGTGAGGTGGCTCACGCCTGTAATCCCAGCACTTTGGGAGGCTGAGGCATGATTGCTTGAGCCCAGGAGTTTGAGATCTTGTCTACATAGCAAGATCTTGTTTCTACAAAAAAAAAAAAAAAATTAGCTGGACGTGGTGGTATGTGCCTATAATCCCAGCTACTTGGGAGGCTGAGGCAGAAGGATGACCAGGGTGACAGAGTGAGACTCTCACTCAAAAAAAATAAAAAATAAGCCGGGCTTGGTGGCTCAGCCTGTAATCCTGTGCCTTGGGAGGCTGAGGTGAGTGGATTGCCTGAGCCCACGGGTTTGAGACC